GATACGAAAAAATCGGAGCGTTGGAAGAAAAACGCTTGTGACCATAAGCAGAAATCCCACAACGGCAACTACAGTAACCGAGAAGTAGTTTATTTTCCGGATTTATTTCCTTTATTTCCGCTGAATTTTGTCGATTTTTCTGATTTTTCTGGTATTTTCCCTAAAAAAGCGCAAAATAAAAATTCTGCTAGATGGTAACTTGACTGAAAAAAAGTACCAAAACGAGATAAAAATCCTGAAAATAAGAATACTCTTTGGTTACTGTAGTTGTCGTTGTGGGGCCTTTGGCCACGACCACCGGAATTTCTCTTCCAGAGCTCAGATTTTTTGTACCGACATAACAGAACATAAAAATAACGACATCGAATCGAATGCATTTTTCTTGACTCTGAGTTTCTCACGATGAGTCTTGAGAGCCAATTCGATCAAATTATTGTTCAAGTCTATTTTTTGAATAGACTTTAGAAAAGTATTACATCAGATTCCATAAGATTCTTGCAAAACGATGAAATTTCAAAAAAAAATTTGATTCCAACTTTCTCTTTCACTCAATTGCCAGGAAACACCCTAACTTTTTTCAGACTTCCGAATGTTTTGTGAACAAAGAACCCTTTTTTGTTTGAATCCTTTCTGTTTAAATATATCTTGGGTTCCAAAATTAAATTACCCCAACACACCTACCACTCCAGCCACCAACACTTTCTCACCAACGTCGACGTCTTCTCGATTTCTTGTTTTCTCTGCCCCGTGGAAGCTTCTTCTCTCTTTCTTCCTCTTCTTTCACATCTCTTTAGAATCTTTGCCTTCTGAATTCTAAAGAAATAAAGAAAGAGATAACGTCTACTGAAATGAAAGTTAGGAAAAGCTCGTTTAAGTTTCCAACAATTTCCTTTCTCCTCTCAATCCCACACAATTGAATTTCGATCCTCTAGAACGCTCCTCAAAAAGGACAAGAATGTCATGACCTTTTTTAAAACGATGACATGTTTTTTTCCAGAATTTTGGATATTTGAGCAGTTCAATAGGTTTTCATACTACTTTTTCCAGATATATCGTCGGGAATGCCGTTTCTATCAAGGCCAGCATCAAGTACCAGTCTAGGTGAGTATGAAATTTCTTTTTGAATTAAATGTGATAAACATGAATCCCCAAACCAGAAATATCCAAAAAAAAACCAACTGCTTAAAAATAAATTACTCAAAAAATTCGAAAATTGTACTCATATTGATGTCTGTTATGTCCGGTAATTCTGCGAACGGAAATTTTTAGGAGACCTGTTAGAAAAATAATAATGATAACATCAAAGAATTTGTACCAACACAGATTCGCTCCCATTTGATTTTATTCTAAAATATGCTTCCTGTTTTTGCCTCTCCATGAAAAAACAGGAAAATGCACATTTTTCTGAGTGTTCGTCATGCTAAGAGTGTCTCAAAATGACTAGTCCAGTTAGTCAATTTGCAAATTTTCAATCGTGGATTTTTGAGACAGAACTAGAAAGAAGTTTATCTCCTCTGATTGTTTTTTAACAAAATCTGAAAGACTCCAAAAAGCTATTTGGATGCGTGAATTGTGAGGACGTCAGAAGAGAATCCGGAAAATGTTAAGGCAACAAATGTTGATTTGAGAATAGAGGGAAAAATATACAATTGTTATTCACTCATTCTTCCTATGTTTTTGAATTTGTCGATCATTAATCTTATAAGGTTAAAAGCACCGCATCATCAGAATTCCGCACGCTTCTTGCTGCAATAGTTATCGCAGAATCCAGACAGGCTGGTATCATACCCACCGTAAAACATGTAATAGAAGGGTCATATAACTTTTAAATTCGACGCAATTTATCTCGGTTTCTGTAAAAGACATAGAATAGTTGTCAACTAATAAAATCTTAAAATCAAAAGTTTTTAACTAGTGACTGATGTTTGATATCTTGAATTGATATGATTCAGCTTCAACGCACAAGTTTTACTGTATTTCAAAAACAATTTATCCGATTGTATGAGCAATGTAATCACCAAAAATGTTCCTAATTTTTAAGAATAGTATTCCAAAAAAATTCTAGACTGTAGCTTTAATTGAAATTTATTTGAATGCGGCATTATCTTGGTTGACTTTTAATTTAAGTTACATTTGAAACAATTTTTTCTCTGATTCTTTATTACAAATACAGAAAAAAACAGTTGCATCCGATAAAAAATTATTGAAGCATTTTTCAAGTCACATCTGGAAATGTAACTATGCCTGTTAACGATTCCCCCCATACTAACGAAAAGGAAGACCTTGATAAACTAATTAATAATAAATAAATATAAACTAAGAGATAAACTAAGAGAAAATACTGGTTTAATCTGGATTTGAAAGTTTATGGAACATGTAGTCTTTCATCCATTAAGCCAACTATCTCTGGAAGTCTAAAACCACTATATATTTTTTAACTGATTGCTGTAAAAATAGGCACAAAGTTTACACAAAATGATTTCAGTGTACAACATAGTAATTCAATAAATGAACATTAATCACATTGAACTAGAATCGAACAAAATATAGTAAATCGAAAATTACAAAGACACAAAATACGGAAATAGTCGACGTATGAAGAATTACCGTAACCAATCGGGTTTCATTCCAGGAGATGAGTACTGAGGTATCAGGAACAAAAAAAAGACTGCGTTCGTATGCATTATCACACATTCATTTATTTTACATACGTCATAGAATTTAAGCAAACCGGTTTTTAAGTTTTTTTTTTCACAATCAGATCTTGTCGGCGCGTTCAGAATAAGACTCGAGAGCCGAGTCGATCCATTAAAATTGCTCACCCATGCATGAGAGATTTACCGTAAAACCTGTAATAGAATGGCCACCTAACTTTCCACTGAGCTATTTTAACTCGGTTCCTGTCAAAGTTATAAAAAAAGTTGTCAACTGATAAATTGTTAAAAATAATATAAAAAATGTTTTGTCAGTGGACCTCATTTTAGTATCTTGCATTTGGATTGAGAAAATTGCACTCAAAGTTTACAGTATGAGGCCCTTCTACTAAATGTTTGACGGTAGGTCGACTAGATTTTACTGTGATGATGTATTAGAGTTGACATGTTTTTATGAACTTTAATTTTTTAGACTATTAGATCTGAATACTGTATAAAAGGGCCTTCACACTGTCGAGTATGAGTTCAATCATATCGATTTCTGTGCAAGATATCGAAAATCAGTCAACTGATAAAAGTTTAGTGACATTATGATAAGCAATTTATTAGTGGACAACTCATTCATATATTTTACAGAAACCGAGAAAAAAGGCCTCAAAGTTATAGGGCCCTTCTATTACAGGTTTCACGGCATGTTCTTCCTTCTTCCCATAGTCTCCCCCATTCGATAAAATATTTGAAAAGTGCAGAAAAGGTATTGCGTAAAACGAGCCGTCTCAATTCTCTCATAGGTCCGAAAATAATTCATGAAGATGTACATGACCCGTATTGTTCGATGAAACTTTATTTCCATTTCTTTTCTCAGTAACAATTTACGATTCTAGAAAAAGTTTGAAATAGATTTTAAAATCCTTTAGAAGCCCCTTAAGGCCCTTCGATTATTCCAAAAAAGATGATGATGCAAAAAAATGTTTTATAGGCCATTCGGTTCCGACATGCACATTCATGTTCTACTAAATACGTTTCACTGGTTAAGACACTTTTCTTTTGTTCTTTTTCCTGGTACTCTCTAGCTTTTGGGCATGGTTTCCAAGTCACATGTCGCTTAGATTTTTCGTTTTTAGCTAAATTTAGTTTGGAGAGAGCATGATGTGTCACATTAGGTTGTCAAGTGGTAGTTGAAAAATTGAAAACGAAAACGAAAAAAAAAGGAAAAAACGAAGGATGCGCATATGGAATATTGAAATTGACGAATGCTGATGTGACGTTTAGTGAACAGGCTTTTTGGATTGCTCAGTCGAAAAATGAAGTTTGAATTGGAAATCGGAGTGACAGAAATGGTAATTTTGCAAAACAGGGTACCGTATTTGATATTTCTGGTTGGAATAAGGTTTATAGTTCTTTCTGGGCATTAGCTTCTTTTTTTTCCACTAAATTCTCCAAAACACTAATTCAACAATCTATTTTTGTGTAGGCGCTATTCACCTGCTGATTTTTGAAAGCATCTGAAAATGAAATTCGCGTCATCTGAAACACCTTTTCTGCAGATTGGGAACACCGATCTATTTTGGGTATGAATCCCTTACCATTGTCTATATCACGGTACCCCCCCCCCCCACCCCCGATTCTGAAGCTTCAGATTCCTAGGAATATTATTCCCAAAAAACAATTCAAAAAAATTATAGCTCAGTTATTTGGACTACGTAGTATGTAGCCAAATATATTTTTAATCAAAAACAAGACCTCTACCTTGCCAGAAATCAATCTCAAAGATTTATCCTTTGCTCCCAGAAGTATTGCACCAATTGGGAAACATACGTAGACACACAAGTTCTACCAGTCTTCTCCTCTTCCTTATCCCAGTCCATCTCCAGTACTCTCGTTTTCATTTCATCGGTCCTCCAGTCTTCCTGCTCATCATCATCATCCTCACGCTTCTCCTTCTTCTCCGAATAATTAATCCGTGAGGCGAATACACATACACTTCATTCATAGAGACGCGGCGACAGGGCGCCAGTGCTTCTTCTGCGACTCTCTCACTCTCTCCTGGTGTTGCTCGGAATAGTGGGCGGAGCCACAAGAACAGGGCTTCCACCACGCCCCATCACACAATCTAGAAGGAAGAGAGACTTGTTGGTGTCAAGTGGAGAGATCTCCTCCCTTGCTCTTGCTCTATCCGAAAGATTGCTCATTACTGTTATTCATTTTCTTCGTGTGGACCATAATCCAGGTGATACCGAGTCATCTAGTAGTCACACAGCTGATTCTTTGCCTCACATCTTCTATTTCTGTTTTATTTTATTCTGATGAAGAGAGGAACGCCTTCATCTACGTATTCATGCCAAAATGACCAAATCGACAAAGCTTCGGCATTGTAAACAAAAAAAGAAGAAGCCGGAGAAGGCTGAGAAATCGAAAACGCCGATCGTGATCACTGAGAAACCGTCGTTTGAAGACGTGGCAATCACGTCATCTACCACTGATGGACTTCTCGGATCAACCGACAGCGGAGGCTCGCGGAGCAAATCTCGGAATCGAAAACTTGGTGGACTTTGCTGTTGTACCGCCCAGACCGCCACTCTATCTCCGATTGAGCCAACGGATTATGGTAATTTTTTTTGGAAGAAATATCAAAATATCATTAAATCCTTACGAAGAGATTGTGAGTGTTTGAATATCCGGATTATAGAACTCAGAAATTTTCATTTTCTCGATTCTGAAAATGAAAAGTAAATTTTGGATTAGGATCAGAAGGTAATTATTTTGAATAAAGCGGGAATGAGAATGAGCGAAATTCTTAAATCTAGTTCCGGGAATTTTCTCAGATTTAATTGTTTTCGAAATAGATGTAGGTCAGCACTAAGCTCTTCTGGAAGTTATGCAAAAAAATCTTCATCGTATTTTTCATCCAAAAAACAATTTCTTCTGATTTTTCGTAAACAAAGAAGCAATTTTTGCATCCAGACAACAACCAACTTTTCATCCCGTTGCTTTTCTTTTTTTCGCTCCAAAACGAACAAATTCATCTTCTTCTCAGAAACCTTTCGACGCGAAAATTTATGGCTTAAAGTCAACTCTTCATCTGGAAAAACACCCGATTCTGGTGCTCGAAAAAAGAGACATTCGTAGAAAAATGTGGAAATCCGGTTTTTCTTTTTTGCTGAGCAACTGTTTGTGTTCCTTTTCTGGGGGGGGGGGGCGAACACAACCCGGAAACCAAGTAAAAGGTTCCCACGGATTTTAGAAAATCTGAAAAATTGAGGAACCATGATTGATTCGAAGAAGCAGAGAAGCACAGAAACTAAAGGTTTCACATGAATTTTTAATTCAGAATTTTTGTGTCAAAAAGTCAAAAAGGGAGCACGAAGGCTAACTTTTTTCGGGGCGTGCATATTTTCGTTCGTTTAGAAAATCGGGACCAAACTGGCCGGAATTTTTAAATCTCCCGCCAGATCTGAATGTAAAATTTTCTTCTGGAATAAAAATAATGATAAAGCAATTATTCGAACAATAGATGCGCCTTTATATTAGGGTTGAGAGGGAGAAAAAATTGGGAAAATTCAATTATCCTCGTCTCGGTTTGTCTAGTCCCATTTTCTCTCATTCTCCGTCTCATTTTCTCTATTCAAAATGAAAGAAAAGTGGGCTTGCATCTTGTGTTCGGTGCCGGGGTTTCCCTTTTTTAGTTAAAAAAGTATTTGGGAAAATAGACGGAACGAGACTCTCATCTTCAGAATCAAACAGAAAAAGGTCGTCGGCACATTCTGATTTCATTGTTTTCCTTTCACACTTGCTCTAGCTCTTGTCTAGATGTCATCTGCAGAATATTGTATGGAATCATGGACTCTGAATCAGAATAGAAGAAGAGGTCCTCAAACTACGTGACTAATTAGAAACTTCAGAATTTATTCAATTGGCAAGATGAGATCATGTTGATGCCTGATGTACAGTACCTTGTCGGAATTCTATTCTTTAAAGGATTTTTCAGATTTATTCATGAACTTTGAAAAGTTATTTTCCTTGGTGTACTATAGATCACAAAAACCAACCGCAACTTCTCGATGTGTTGTCAAGAAAGAAAAGGAAGGCTTCTTCACCGAATTCAAATACCATGAATATCCAATGGCTCGCCGCCGTTTTCACATGTGCACAAAAACGAAACAAAACATTTTCTTCTTCTTCTTCTTCTTCTTCCCATCAACCCGACAATCTATCCATTTCTGGGTATCTCCTAGAAAATCCAATGGGTTGATGGTCGTGTGGGTGTTCGGATTCTTCTTCGTGTTGCAAAATATATTGTTTTTCTTCTTCTGAAAGCCTTCCACCATGTCATTCCCGGACCCAATATCAACCTCTTCCAAAACCACGTTCTCAAGATCAGGTTACCACATTTTTTGTAGTCATTAAAGCCTGTGACCAGGGACCACAGAAGAAGGGCAAATTGTGGATGAAGAAGAGACCGGAAAAGGGCCATATTATGTTTTGTGTGTGCTTTATGAGGAGGTCTATCCCCACTCACAAATGAGCCCAGATGAGAAGAAAAAAGAGCAAGAATAGAGGGAGACAACCTATAGACCAACTTATATACAGAAAAAAGCAAAACAATGACGTTTTTTTAGTGGTAAACTTTGAGAGAAAAAGAGGTTTTTGCTAACGAAACTATGGGAAAGCAGCAAATATATGAGAGAAAAATGATGTGACTTTTGGAATATATTTTTGAAAAGTGTTCATGAGGATTAGGGAATGGTGAGGAGTTTCATAATAGGAGTACCGTAAAACCTGTAGGTGTCCGTCAGAAATCGGCAAATTGCTGAAAAAGTAGAAATTTCCAAAAAAATATGTGAATGCAAAATTTTTAATCTAGGTCAATTGTATTGTCAAAATGATAGGAAACTTGACAACGAAGCTCCAGTCTCTTGAAAATTATCAAAATCAACTGAATACACGTTTTGTATATCTTATTAACCGGTACTGTATCTTTGACAGGGACGAGACAAATTTGCTGGAAGTTAAAAATTAGAGCACCCTTCTATTACAGGTTGTACGGAATTCACGCGTTATTGAATGCCGGAATTACCTATCACATTTTGATGATAAGGAAAAACTTTGAAAACTTTCCCGGATTGATCGAAAAAATCAATAAAAATTTTTTTTAATTTTCAGGTGGTATCGCTTCAACCAACAACAACGGCATGATTGGCAGTCTGTGCCGTGACAGTCGAGCACCGTCACGAAACTCCAGAAGCGGGTCATCCAGAAGTCAGCAGGCAAAACATCAACCGATTGATCCAGATGAACCATCGACAAGTGGGACTACAGACCGGAGACCTTCCACTCATTTTATGTTGGATCTACCTGTGGTTTCGACTAGATGTAAGTCTTGTTTGGAAAAAACTTCTGATTTGGTTCTGGGATGGTTTGATGATGTTCTGATGGTTTCTGATATCAAATCTAATCTGGTTTATCAATCCAAAAATAGTCAGAAACGGTGTTATTCATCCTCCAAAATTTTTCATCGATTTCCATATCTTGTATCGTACCTCATCCAACATTTTCCCTTCTCCTAATCCTTATCAATCCTTCTACCTTTGCTCACCGAGCACATCATTCTCAATCATTGCGCGTATATCACAAGGCACTCCACTTCTTCTTCTTCTTCTTCTTCTTCTTCTTCTTCTTCTTCTTCTTCTTCTTCTTCTTCTTCTTCTTCTTCTTCTTCTTCTTCTTCTTCTTCTTCTTCTTCTTCTTCTTCTTCTTCTTCTTCTTCTTCTTCTTCTTTTTCCTCTGATATCCGTCCTAATCTTCTTCTTGATAACACGATGATTTGATGGAGATAAAAAGATCTAACTTTTTTTTTCATCTCTTCCTAAAATTGAAGAGAACGAGGGATTCGAGACTAAATGGATAGTTTCAAAAGGAGGTGCGTGGGAGTGATAGAATTTTTGAGCAGAGAGATTTGCTTCGTCGTTTTTTTGCAAAGAAAACGCATTGTTAAGTGAACCAGAAAGAAAAGAAAGAGTCTCTGTTCGTACTGACTTTTGCAGTTTTTCCCATCATCATAAAAAAGGGATCCTGGTTAGAGGAAATTTCAGCATATCAGACTATGTTATTGACCAAATTTATGGAAAATAAATTTAATGAATCTGGATTTTTCTTCCGGAATTATGAATAGATTTTCAAATGAAGAGACGAAATAAGAGAAAACAGAATTCTAAGAAAAGGTCTACCAAAATCAAAACTTTTGTGGAAAATTTTCTAGTGATGTTCGGAACGGAATTCGGATTTCCGAAAAAAAATCAGAATGATATTCCGATAGGAATATTTTTTTTCTTTTTTCAGAATTGGAGTTTTTTGAACTACGGTATCTCAAAAGGCAAGTGAAAAGTTTTCTTGTGGGTCTCGAGCGGAATCACTTTCAATGTTTTTGTTGCGTTTTTGAAATCAGTTTGTCGAATTTGGGGCTTTTGTGTTGGGAAAGTGGGATTCCGCAATTTGGAATTTCCGGAGTTTTTTTCAATCGGAATACTCCAAATCTTCGAAATTCCAAAATTTTTAAACTCGAAGTTTTCGACATTCCGAAAAGTTCCGAAAAAAGCCACTCCGAATCCCTCTGAATTGTTTTTGATAGCCTGGGTTTAGCTTTTGTAATCAGACTAGTCAAGAATTGAACTTTCGGACCAAGTGAACTCAACAAGGATCTCGTTTCCACCTAATTTACCATTAGAATTTCCTTGTTTTTCATCGGAAGTTCTATCAAGCATGAACTAATTCCCTTTATTATTTCTTCTTCTCACAGATCTTCTTCTTCTTCTTCTCAGTGAGCCGATCCTTTGCCTCCGCATATCCGTTATATTTAACTATGAATTAGTGATTAGAACATGAGAACTTTAGAGCGTGCTCTTTATCCCATCCAAGAGAAGAGAATCCTTTCGTTTTCTTACATAATCCGGTTAGTTAGAATTCTGACGCGGACTCATTAACAAAAACGGATTAAATCCTTCTAGTGAAGCTTAAATCGATTCACTGCAACTCATCAGAAATTTAAAAAACGATTTTCAATAAAACTGAATTTGAAGTTTTAAGGTCAGCCGGATGACTTATTCATTCATTGTTTTTTGAAACTTTGTTGTCTGGTTTTTTGAGAAACTTGAGTCAAATAGGAGGGAACGCACGTGGAATAAATATAAAGAAACCTAAAAAATGGTATATTGTTCTAACAGAATTGTTCATAAGCACCTTCAGAAATATTTCTGGAACCTGTGTATCTCTTCCAAATCTCTTGGGAACAGATGATATTTGAGTGTATTCTCCACTCGGTTCCACTTAAAGTTTCTCCTTCTGCGTCTCGTTTTCCTCAAGTTCATTAGGATGGAATTCAGCGAATTCGTACCCCCTCGACCAAACAATTCGGTCATCTTGGGCTCGTCGTTTTTTAGAAGATGAGGAGTCGTCGACAAGGCTCGGAAGATAATTTGGTGGACTGACTAGAGCAGAATTTCTCGACATCATTCTTTGAAAAGGAAAACGGGAAGAGGGATGCTTTGTTGAGTTTTTACAATGCCTACGGGAGTACTCAAAGGCAGGAAAGGAAATCCGGGAGAAGATTTGATAAAGAGATTAATTGATTTGAAGCGACCCCTCACAACTTTGATTTTTTAAATTTAGGTGAAATAGACAGATTTTGATAAATTTAGAACAAGAATTCATCGATTTTTTTACCGATAAGTTCGAAAACAAAAAAAAAGGAGGGCCCTCTGCAGACACCTTGAAACCATAGAAGGGCCCTTCTAATACAAGTTTTACGGTGTGTCTGTTCATTGTTTTTCCCATACACGCACTAATCGTTCTCGGCAGGTTACTCGAACTTTCTGGCAAAAGTTGAACACCTTCATAAAGTCCTTACAAAATCCTTACAAAATTCCATATATGATGCCCCAGATTTCCTGTAGTTTAAGATTATATGGAAAGGATTTCATCCATTTATGATTTATACATTTCAAGACCCAATCCATTTGTATGTGTAGTTTTTGAAATTAAAATCAAACATATGTCAACTAACAAAACACTTCTGATATTATGATACACAATTTATCAGTTGACAACTTTCTTATATCTTTCACCAGAACCGAGACAAATTGCCTCAAAGTTTAGAGTCAGGGGCCCTTCTATTACAGGTTTTAAAGTAAATTTGCATTTCTCATAGTCAGGAAATGCTCTAATTTCTCGATCTTGACATACTTAAACAATCATGATCACACAAAGTTAATATATTTCTAAAAAGAAAAGAGTTACTCAAAAATAATTTTTTAGAAGCATCAATTTCAGATTTCTCATGGCAGCTAGATTCCATCTTGACTCCACAACCAGTCTAGACATTTCTACAAACTTCAAGTAGTCTGTCCCATCATTTCCAAGCTTTGCACTTGAAATAAAAAGATGAAGCGCCTTCTCGAAAATTGTAATTTTGAATGTAAAAAAGGAAGAAAGAAGAAAGAGAAAGAAGCACTCATACACACAAAAGTATGTAAATTTGATTTTCGACGACAAGAAGGACGGCGTGGGGGCCAAGAGACATAAAAAACGCTTCTTTCGAGCAATTGTATGAGCACAGAAGCATATTTTTAACTTTTCCTCCGTACTTTCTCAGTATATTCATCTTCTGGAATGAGTGCAAATTACAGATGAGAGTGTCAAGGCTCATTAAGTTCGCAATTGTCCTTTTTCGGTCCTTGGGAGTCTTCCCTTTTCCATTTTTTTGGCTGGCTGTTTTTTTTTCTGGCTGCCTCAAAATTTTAAACTTCCTTGTTTCAAATCGCCAAACTCATGTCAATAATAATACGCTAACCAACAAAAAAAGGGAAACAACAGATGGTGGAATGAAAATAAAATATATTTTTCCTTTTTTGGAACATGAGGAAACGAGAAGACATCAGCAAAAAGGATTGTCTTTCCGTTCTTTTTTTGGGGTTCGGCCGGGTATTTTCTACTCCTTACTCTCATACTTTATATTTTCCTCTTCTCCTTTTCTTCTTCTTCTCCATGAGTATTCATACATTATAGGAATTCTATTTTGATTTTTTTTTCATATTACAATTAGTTCAAACTGAATACATAGGATTAGAATCCCTACGATTATCATAGGGTCATCAGTAGGACTTCAAATTTTAAATTAGCAGATTTTTATAGAAGGAGCTTTCTATTGAAATGTTTGTAAATCCAACACCTGCTAATCGATATAATTGAAGTCAACTCTCAGCTTTCTCATCTACCGTAAAACCTGTAATAGAAGGGCTCCAACTTTTATTCTCGGTTCCTGTCAAAGATGTAAGAAAACTGTTAACTAATAAATTGTTTCTCATAATTTTAGAAGTTTTTATCAGTTTTTTACATGTTTTGATTTTTTTTCTGAATTGAGATAATGGAGCTTAAACTTGTCAGTGTGGGGGCCCTTCTACAACAGGTTTTGCGGTATCTGAGTACTTTCATTCGTTTTCTGATGCAGATCCTTGAATCCGTATTTGCTAATAAGAAACCTTATAAACTTCTTTGAAATTTAAACTATGTCATAATCTCATAGAAAACGTTGTAATTTTTAGTTTCCGATCTAAAAGGAAATTGGAATTATTTCTATAACTCTCAGAACTCCATAGGCAAAATTTCTTAAATTTTGGGCAAATTCCAGAAAAATTTGATGTGAATTTTACGGTTTTTGAAGGCTCTAAAGCTTTAATTCTAGGTTTTCAGAAATTTAGTGCTTATTGATAAGGAGATAACAATGAACCTTCTGTTTGAAAATTTTTTGAAACCTTCATATAAAATTCATATCCCATATTAAATACCATAAATTCTGTATTAGAAAGAATCCCTCTAGTAGTAGGTCCCCCTTTGAAAGAATTAAAGAAACGTTCTGATTTAGCGGTATCTTCGAATGAGAGCCACCTTTGTTTGAATTTGTCCTAATAAGGTTGACACATCAAAACAGATAAGTTTTGTTTCAAGCTCAATCCATTCTGAGTAAACAAATCATCAAAAAACCAGGTATCCATAATTGCCAACGCTACCCCATTCACCCATTCTTCTTGCTCCCATCCGATCAGATTTCCTTCCTCTTTCATATCCACACCCGCAGAAAAAACCCAACCAAACAAAAAACATTCATTCTCACCGCAAAATTAATACGCTTTTTTCTCTATTCGTCGTTTAGATTCTGTTTCACTTTTCCATTTTTCAAACCTCTTGAAATTGAAAAACGAAAGAGCAGATGCATTGCGGAGAGAGGTCATCAATTTTATCGCGTTCTCTCCTCGAGCCGATTTTCACCCGAGATTGGGAAATCGGGAATATTCGAGCCTTATGAGTCAGTAAGGAAAATCTATATTGTGCTCTATCAAAGGAGCCTATCTTCTCTAAATCTATAAAACATCCATATCTTTATATGTATCTGAAAATTTGAAAAGTCTTGAAAAAGGTCCACTTCCCCAATATACTTGACTTTCATAGGAAGTCGAAGCGGCTCTACATGAAAAAAAGGTACCAAGGGAATTGAGCTCTTTTCCCTTTTTCTTTT